TTTTAGCACACGTTTAAGAAATTGTATTAAGCAAGGGATCATGCATGCTAAAAAGATTAGAGTTGCTACAGCACAAGAAAAGCATTTCTTAAACCCATAGTTTACAAGATAACCACAAAAACACCTCTTATTCTCATTCTTTCCATGTTTGGACTGATACATGAGTTAACTTTCCTATTACTTTTGTAATTTGTTTCACCACCTTTTAGCTATCATTTAATTTGCCACACTCTCTCCCTTCTTCTGCTGACAGTGTTTGCATTTCTAAGCTCTCACACGAGGCTTCTACCTGCAGTTCCATTTAAATCTGTGTTGTTGGATCTGGACCAGAACCTATTACAAAGGATTTGAGTTTTGTTTCAGTGTTGCTACTTCTACTGATCATCACGGACAACACGTGTCCTGCTTGTGGAATTGTTTTGGGGGCAGCTTAAAAATAAGGGCTCCAAAAAACCTTCTCTTTCCCCTCTGCTTTATAGGCTTCAAAATCTTTTTTGGTAATTATGGAAGGAACACCTTGCTTAGCTGCTAGTAGTGACCTTAACAAACATTTGATTCTATTTGCCTTGCTATCTGAAACAATTATAAGGAGGGAAGCTGGGGGTCTTATAATCTAAACCTAAAGTCTAGTCAGAAATGCTTTTTCCCACGTATGTGCTTCTTGTTCTATTTAGACAATAAATGCTTTTTTCAGAAGAATGAAGCCACCATGGACTTCCTTCTTCATCTCAAAATCTTGTTTATTATGGACCTAACTCACTGTTTTGGTTTTACTGAGAGACCTCTAGCTTTTTCACCACTCTTCACAGAAGTATCAGTGAACGCTGTTTATTTCTATCTTTAGCACACTTTTATAGGATTCTACAGGGTCCGCAGGCTAAGCAAGTTATTATTGGCTAATACACACAGGTTTACATTTTTTCTCTTATTCACAAGGATATTGTTTTGCTTTACTCTTTCTTCTGCTTCAAGAAAGGTTTCAAAGGTTCAAAGGTTTCAAGGACTTTAGCCTTTAATATCACGACTTATTTCAAAGACTGGTTTGTGCAGACAGGCCCTTACTAATATATAAAATATATCAACAAACAACAACAAAAACAGTCCTGCCCTTTTGCACTAAGAGATCTCTTGTGAAATTCTGCAGACAGAGCCCTCAAGTGAGTGTGGGGTGCTTTTCACCTCGGCGTGTGCAGTTTGCGGGAAATTCGAGTTGCCCCCCTTGCTCTCTAGACACCGCTCACTCTTTTGGGAGTGTCGGACTAGGTGCGGCTGGAGCAAAACATCTTTCCCCTAATACAGACTGCACAACAAACCTGCAGCCCTTTCTGTCTGTCAGAAATCCTGTCCGTAACTCCAGTTTAAATGTCATGATTCGCTAACGCCAGTGGGAGTCGCGAGAAGTTTGTTTGATCTCCGAGTGCAAAAAGGACACAAGGGATTTCAGTTTAAATCACAACAGCAATAATGTACCTTTATTTCAGTGATAACAAGGGTTATGTGATAGATGAGAGGGATGGTGAGAGAGAGATAAAGAAAACAAAGTAAAGAAAGAGAGAAGAGGAGGTTATAGCTACCAACAGATGAGACGGGGTCACTGGAGTCTTTTTCTGTAGGGAGATCTCGCCAAAATCAATTTAGCCTTATGTAATTCTTCCCCAAAGTGACCTTGTTTCCAATGTGCTAATAAACACCCCAAAGGAGAAGTACCTGCTATGAAAGCATTGCTGCCCAAAACCCCTTTAAGCTTCTCCATGTCACAACTACAATACACCACAAATGCCGATCCTGCAACGCTTTCGCAGTCGTCTGACAGACGGCGCCCAGGCAATACCAACAGGAATTCCTTTAGCCCAACCAAGCACAGCTTTTGCTGCGTCTTATTGGCAGGCACCCAAACCAAAGTAAAAGCACCTTACCTCTTCTCCTGGGGACGCTGTGAGCAGTGGAGACGGCCGCGGCCGATGGGCTCCCCGAGAATCCCTCGGTGCTGGCTGGAGCAGGATCGGGTCACGAGCTCGCTCAGCAGCACTCACAGGGTCCCATCTGGGTCACCAAAATTTTAGAGTTCAGGAACACACATCATCACAGAATGATTATATGAAGGTGGTTTATTGAAGAGCTCTGGGTGTCAGTGGTACACAGACCCAAATCTGACCCATCTTGGTTTTGAGTTGAACATGTTTTATACTCTATCATTATACAATTTACATATTAATTATTAAACTTACACTGTTCTATTGTATGCATTGTTTTTACCCAAGCATGGATTTCTCGTGTTCCCCCTTCAAACCCCCTAACATTGTTCCTCATGTTCTTTAAACAATAATTATATCTAATCACATCTAACAATTGTATCATTTATCATATATTGATTACACAGGTGCAGTTTCACATGATCTTTAGCAAGTACAAGGCCTAACATTTCCAGGACCAACTTTTCCCGAGCTTGCCAAGCCTAACTTTCTTTCTGAGTTCCCGGATTTCCTAAGATTTTAAAATGTTTTACTATCACCTCCAGACAAAAATAGTCCTCCCTGAACAGTCAGAGAGCTACATCTATTTTTAATTTTAACTCTTTTAAAATTTTTCCAGAGCCTGCTGGCTGTGTTCAAGGTTTTCTCCCTAATTTCTCCCTAATGCACATTCTCCAGAAATTGTGCTTTTACATCATTTTGCATTGATTAAAGTTACCTGCAATGACCAGTCAATCCAAACCCTGGGAAAACTCGAACTTCAGGCTATACCCAATCAAAATATTTACCTCCCACATCTGAAGCCATGACCTGCCAAGTACTGTCCCCACTGTCATACCCTGTCCCCTGGAGGTCTGCTGATGCCATTTCAAAGGGGTTGCCAATGAAAACAAGTTTGAATATTTTTGTAGTTTCCACATTGGCATTAAAATCCTTGACTAGAAAAATCACAAGATTTCTAGGATTCTTCCATACTGTCATTCTCACCCGGGATTTTAGTGTGTCTGAACAATCAGACAAGGTTTTAGTTTTAGACACTACAGACAAAGTCCCTGCTGTTCAGTGATCCCATTCCATCAGCATATAGTCCTGATGATTCCTTTAGGCAGGAGCAGAAAAGGCAAGAATGAGCCAAACAAGCTGTTCCTGTGTTCTCATGTCCTGCACAGCAGTAACTGGGAATTCACGAATGGATTCAGGAGACAATGGGTGCACAGGGAGCCACAAAGACTTTGGGATGCTGAAATGGACCAGCCTGGTGCCTGTGCCCGGGCTGCACTGGGCTGAGCTCCAACTGCACAATCTAACAATGGTTGAATGGACACACCATGGGCCACTGGAGACTCCTACTCCTAGTTCTGTGAGCTACACTATTCACCAGTCATTCACCAGATGATGTTTTCATCTTTGCTTGAAACCCAGGAGAGGAAAAGGTCAACATGGAAAAGTATTCTTCCAATTCTAGTGACAGCTGTGCCTGCACACCACCTGTGCCCATGGCAGGGTGGTTGGAGACTGGACGATGTTGATGATACTTTGCAACACCAAGTGCTCTGGGATTCTGGGATTGCCCAAGTGGAGAGCAAAACTGATCTGTGTAAGTCCCTGCTTTTTTTCAGCACATGCTGTTTCTTCCTTTGTTCCAAGCAAGTCCAGGATTTTGTTTCATGTGTCTTTAAGGTGCCTGGACAGAAGAGAGGGAGGGCAGCTGCAGCACAGGGCTCCTGCCCATCAGACTCTTTCTCTCACTCTCCCTCTCTCTCTCTCTCTCTTTCTCACGATGGCGCCAATGCCGCTGCCTTGGGACACTTGAGTGTGGAGGGCGAGCTCACCCTCAAGCACGGCCATCCAAGTCAGTCACGGGCACAGGCTGCAGCTGAAGCTGGCAAGCGTTACTGTGACGCTGCAAGTGAAGAGAAAGCCATTGTGGCCAACTCTGCTGAAGCCTTTTGCCAAAGCAAAGGCAATTGTGCCCACAGCCTCCCCCGGTTTGGCACCCGGCTGCTGTGGATGCCTCAGTGCGCAGGTGCTGATGTTGGGGCTGCTGCTGTTCCTGGGCACACTCTGCTGCTGTTTCTGTGGGCTCCAGTGCCGCTTGGGCAGCAGTGACTGGGCAGCCCTGCTGGAGGAGACATTGCCACCATTGCCATGGTGGCAGCAGCTCTGTGGGCCCCAAGCTCTGTGTCAGGGGGGCCTCAGTCACAGCAGCATGGCCTGGGCAGCCGTGAAGGCCTGGGCTGGGCGCCAGCCCTGCCTCTGCCCACTGCCCCTGCCTGGAGGCACCCAGTGGCCATGGCCTGGCAGCACCCCCCTGCCCTCCATGTCCCCAGCCAGCCCAGCCTGGGCACCTCGGGCTGTCCCCACCCTCCCGCTGGGGTGGTGTCCCAGCCTCCAGGCCTTCTGCTGCAGGCCTGGGGGACATTTTGCAGAAGCACCAGAGCAGTCGGGTGTCAGGAACCAGGCAGCTGCTCGGGGGCTGCTTATGGCTTCAGACACCCAATTCCTCAGGGCTTCCCACCACCCCAGCTCCTACAGGACCTTCTGTCCCCTTGGAACCTCCTGCTACCCACTCCCTCCTACATCCGCCTCATGCCTTCCCACTGCCTTGTCCCGTCTGCGCCTCCGCAGCCCCTCATCCCTTCACGGCCTCCCAGCACCCTGTCCCCTCAGGGGCTCCCCCAGCCTGGTCCAGCAGCAGCGCTGCAGCCCCACAAGAGCTCCAGCAGCTCCTCAGCCATCACGGCAGCAACACATGGGCAGCAGGACACAGATGGCGCTTCCTGCCTGCCACAGGGCTTGTGGCTTCAGCACAACCACCAAAGGCCAAGGGGCTTGGGGCCATTTCCCCTGCACCACTGCACACCCCGGCAGGTTGCTGAACACAAGAACCCTTTTCCCTCTCTTCCCTGATGCCCCGCACACCCTGGGCAGCAAAAGAAAGGCCTTGAGACTCTTGTGTATTTTAACATATCCTATATTATTTACATACTAAAAAGAAATAAATAGAACAAAACAATTCTTATGAAATAAAAAATCCTGGCTGGCCCAGGTGGCTCCAGTAGCCAGAGCCTCCAAAATCAGCACTGAGCACATCTCCAGCAGCGCAGCCAGCCCAGGCCCGACAGACGAGGCCGTGTCCTCCATGCCCTGAGGATTTGGTCTTGCATCCTCTGGAGAATGGAATATCGGCCACTCTGGATGGCCCAGAGGACATAGAGCGTTTCAAGTGCCAGGTCTGACACAGCACAGCTTCTGTCCTCTGTCAGGCATTTGAGGGCTGGAAGAGAGACGAACAAAGCCACGGTCAGATCTCAGAGCTGTGGGGGCCCAGCGAGAGCCCCCTGCCAGGGCCATGCCAGCCGGCTCTTGCCTTGGCCAGGAGGGAGCAGGGACCAAGGGGCTCAGCTCGAAGCTGCTGGCCACAAATGCCCCACGTGGCCCTGAAATCTCGCTGTGCTCTGCCCACACCGCCCCTCATCGGCACAGGGAGCAGAGCCCTCCACAGCCAGGCCAGGGCTTGCAGCTGCCCCCGACATCCACCGCTGTCAGCCCGCTGCCCTGGCTCACCTCTGCACAAGACCTGGAGCTCTGCGTGCTGCCCCCTCAGCTGCTCCCCGGCCATCCCTGACAACACAGAGCCTGTCAGGGCCCCAGCAGCACAGCTCCCTGCCAGCGGCGCTGCGCAGCCATAGCAGCTCTGCGGTCAGACACAGCACCGTGGGCTGGGCAGCAGCGGGGAGCTGAGCTACCCGCCAGCTCTGCCTGTGCCCACTGCCCCTCAGTGGCAGCAGCAGCCAGGCAGCCCAGCTCTGTGGGGACAGGCCCCTGAGGGGCAGGCTGGCAGCACGGCAGCAGGCTCGGGGGCCGACTTTTTAGCAGGGCTGGCAAAGGGAGCAGCCAGAGGCCCTGGAACTCTGTGTTGCTCACAGCCCTGGGCTGGGCTGTACAGGGTGATGGGCTGGGGAGCCCTGAGCCCTCGGGGCAGGTGGGCCCCATACCTGTCACACGTTGGGGCCACCCGCAGGAGAGTGATGGCCACATCATCGGGCTCTGCCTCGGCCACTTGCATCAGGGCCCAGTCCATCCTGTGCTCAGCAGCCTCATTGGCCATGAGCCACTGGTGGATGTACCTCACCACGGTGGGCACCTGAAGAAGGCACAGGGAGACTTGGAATGCTAGCAGAGGGAGTCAGCAACGTACCCAGCTTCTTCCCCAGACAAGTGCTTCTCTCCCACCACGCTGCCATGGCCTCAAAAACTTCAAGTGAGCAGCAGGCGTGGCTTGGGAAAGCCAAGCAATTGCTGGAGGATCAAAGGCTGGCCACAGGCTGCTTACTTGCTCTGGACTGAAAAGAGCCGTCTCTACAAGCAAATCCAGCTGGGCAGCGCTGCTCTGTTCTTCCAAGACCTCTGAGGATGCTTTGACCTCAGTGTCCATGGGACTGGTGTCTTCCTTGCCAATTCTCTTGACGAATTGGTAAAGAAACTGTAGGAGAAGGGCAGGAAGGCAGGGAAGTTGCATGGAGTGCTCCCAGTGCGGTGCTGGGCTGAGCAGTGCCAGCAAGCCCAGCCCAGGTGGGGATGGCTGCAGGTACCTGTGCTGCTCTGCAGAAGCGGCCACGGGCGGTGTCCTGCTCTTGTGTCCCGTCCATGGCTGCATCTGGCAAAGAGCAGCCAGAGCTGAGGGGCTGCGGGAGAGGCTGGAGAACACAGCCCATCCCTGCGTTCCTGTCATGGAGTTACTTTACCTTTAAGGGAGTTGGAGCTGCTGGGAAGTGCTTGGAGTCTTTTCTCCTGACCAATTATCGGTCATTGCTGGGAATTGACAGCAGTTTAGGCCATTGAAAAGTGAGATCAACTTGTGAACCCTACCTTAAAATGTAAAAGCAGAGCTCTCTGGGCTCTCTTTGTTTTCTGGCTGTGGAGGGTGGCGGAGCTCCAGGCCTCCCGTCCCTGCCCAGGCCATCCCCAC